GTTTTTCCTGTTCTAAAAAGAGGGGATTTTATAGTTCTTTGACATCCTGTTCTGCCCCTACCTTTTGATCCGCTGTTTGCTTAATTAAGGAACGATAAAAATTCTCGTGTTAGATATGGCAAAACCAGTTAATTAGCTTTGCTTTTTGGTTGCTTGCATGTTCAAAAATATGTGAGAAAATAGAAAACAAGCCCAGAGTGTCTATTGAACATTGCAGCAGAAAGCAGGAATTCTTCCAGTGCTGCTGAGGGGGCGGAGTGAGCCCTGTTTTGGGTAAAGATTGTAAAAAAAAGGGGAAAATCTGCTGCAGCAGAGCTCCTGGGTGTGCTGCTCTCCTGTTTGCCAGGTGCTGTAGGTACTTGTGTCATCTGCTCTGATTGCCACTGCCCGTGGAGTATTTAATTCCAATTTTCTGCATTGTTCGAACCTCAGCTGCCCATGTGGTGGGACATCTCTGGATTTGCTTAAATTGCCTTTTTTTTTTTTTTTTTTGGAACAAATAATTCAGTGGTCAGCCCAAAAGGCATTTAAAGATCTGCTTTGTGCTGCATCTTTGGGCTCAATCAGTGCCTGCAGAGATTCTCTGAGGAGATCTTTCCTTAGGTGAAGGATTTCCTTTGGAATGCCTGGATGTGCCAGCCAGTTAAATTAAAGCAGCTTCTTTAAATCATTTAGACCTCAAATCCTTAGTTTTGTATATTTTGAGCCTAAATATTACAAAGTACAGCTGTTTATCTCTGGCAAATAATTCCTCTGCCTGGTCTTCCTCACGTAATGTGTCTAAAGCATCACTATTTTCTTTATACAGGAGCAAAATTAAGGTTTTATCGTTATTTTGTGTGTTTTAGATTTTGTTTTTCAAGGAGAAAGGAGAAGTGAGATGTCCTGAACTCTGTTTAGGGCAGGGCACATCCTCCTGGGATTTGTTTTACAGTGAGGTTTTGTAGCTCTGGGGGTTCTGTTGGAGTCTCCAGCAGCAGGAGCATAAAGGAAAAATAACCATAAAGCCCCAATGATGCCCTAATTAATTTGGGAGCTACCAGGATCTGGGAGAGAGGGAAGGAATGGGAACATCAGTTCCCATCTCAGCAAAGTGCTGTGAGAGCAGAAGGCTTCACTTGGAAGCTGAGTAATTGGGAGGGAAGTGGCTGTGGCTGATGTCCCAGGCTGGGAGATTGGATGGCCTGGAAAGCAGGGAGAAATGAGGGAGTTAATTTGTCTGAGCAATTTCCTGAGCAATTCTGCAGCGTGGTGGAACATTCCAGCATCTGCCCTTCCCTCATCCCTCCTCAGCCAGCCTTGGGGTGCCCCAGCAGCACGTGGAATGGAGAGTTGGGGGACAGCCTGGAATCCAGCCTGGGACAGAGCTGGGCAGCCCTGGAGCAGGTGATGGATGCCTCAGCTTTGGGGTTTATGTTTTTCAGGTTCTGGGCTGCTTTAGTGTGAGGGCTCACATGAGGGATGCTGAGCTGTGTGCACAGAGCAGGGACACAAAACAATCCCTGCCCCAGCTGGCACCAAGCACAAATGCCCCAAATCTCAGCCCAGAGCACAAACCCCGTGGGCTGCAGAGAGAAAAACAAGCAGGGTGGGACTGCCTGGGCTAAGCTGGAATGGGACAATGAACTCAGGAAAGGCTCTCCCAACCCTTCCCCACAGTTCTTGTCCCAGCCTGGTGCTCAGGGAAGGATCACAGGCAGGTTCAGTGGCTTGTTTGGCATCAAAACTCATCTTTGGCCCTTGGAAGTCTTCAAATTGCATCTCCCTTAATTCCTGTGGAGGCATTTCCCTTGCTCTCCTTTCCTGTGCATTCATTTTCTGCTTCTCCCGTTTGGGTTTGTTTTTAGTCCCACTGAAGGTGTTGGGGCAGCCCTGCCTGGCTGAGTTAGGGGTGTCCCCCTGGATTTGGTCTGATTGCAGTNGAAGTTCAGAAAGAAATTAGGGTTTGATGGGTGTTTCAGGAGGAAATAAGGGTTAGCTGGTGGGGAAATGGGGTTTGATGGGTGTCTCAGGAGAAATTGGGATTTGCTGCTGGAGAAATTGGGATTTGATGGGTGTTTCAGGGAGAAATTGGGGTTTGATGATGGAGAAATTGGGGTTTGATGGAGGTTTCAGGGAGAAGTTGGGGTTTGATTGGTGTTTCAAGAGGAAATTAGGGTTTGCTGGTGGAGAAATAAGGATTTTATGGGTTTTTCAGCGAGAAATTGGGGTTTGCTGGGTGTTTCAGGAGGAATGGGGGTTTGCTGTGGAGAGATGAGGGATTGCTGAGAATTTCAGAGAGAAATTAGTGTTTGCTGTTGCAGAAATGAGAGATTGGTGGGAATTCCTGGAAGAAATGAGGGTTTGATGGGTGTTTGAGGAGAAATCAGGGTTTGCTGCTGGTGAAATGAGGATTTGGTGGGTCTTTTAAGAAGAAATGAGGATTTGCTGGTGGCTCTAAATTTAAAAAGCACTGAGATGCAATTTCCAGGACTCCTTGATTTGAAAGCTTGATTCCCATTCATAGGTTTGTACCAATAAATAACCCAAATAATAAACTTATGTAGGTTTGTTAGGGTGGGGTAGGATTTCCAAAAAATGCTTTAAGTGCCTGTTTCCTACAGTTCCAGCCAAGCTTTGGGGTCCATCCCCCTTATCTTGCTTTTTACATCCCAGCCCTAATTTGAAAATTCATGTTAAGGTCTTAAAATGCAAGAGAAATCATTCTCTGTTTTTTTTTTTTTCTATTTGTTTTACAAATGCTGGAGGATAAACTCCTTTTTATTACATGAATTGTCACAGGAAGTCATAATCCTGATGGTAAAAACCTACAAAAACCCCTTCTGTATCCTTAAAAAGAAATAAGGAGGGTCTGGCTGCATCTTCTTCCTAAAGAGCATAACTGAGCCATGGGAATGGAATTCTCTGGGGGCTCCTTTCAGCCTGAATTATTCTGTTATTCTAACAAGCACACAATATTCCATTTATCTGTGCATCCTCATCCTGCTCCCTTTTCTCCCTGGGAAAAAGGAAGGAAAAAGGAATGTTTTGGGTGAATTAGCACAGATTAATGTGGTCAGAGGGGCACTTTTGTGGTGCTTTGGGCACGTTTGGAATTTGGTGAATTTTGGGGGCCTGTCCTGAAGGTGGGACACTCCCAAAAATCCCATTTTTTTGTGGGAGATCCCAGCAGCAGAACTGGGGTTTTTCCCCACTGCAAACCCCATCCAAACCAAGCAATCCCAATTTGCTGCTCCCTTTGGTGGCTCTGGAATTGTGGAGGTTTTAAAAAATCCCACCCTGGCAAAGCTTTCCCCTTCGGTGAGGAAACATTCAATCCCATCCCAAAACTCTGCAATGGAAAGAGAATAAATCAGAATATCTGTGTGCTCTGCAGCCCCCCAGGCTGAGCTAAATAAAGCTGATTTTTCTGTCACTGCTGCTGCTTCCTCTCAGTTCCTCCTGTACTTTGAGCTTGTTCTTCAAGTGCATTGAAAATGAAGCTTCTAGAAGATTCTTGTCACCTTATCTGGTGGTTAATTGCCATTCCTTTTCCAAAACCCTCTGCACCAGGAGTTTTGTTTTTGAAGTAATTGAAAGTCTCTCTTTGTTTCATGTTCACAAATTGTTAGTCATGAAAGATGACAAGATCAACTTATGTTTCCTTGGAAAACTTAATTTTTCTTTAAAGCAGTCGTGGGAACAAGAGGCCTATTAAAGAACAAAGCCACCAAATCTGAAATCTGTGTTTTCACTGTTCCTGTTAATAATGATCTGTGATCAAGACACGTGCGCAGCCCTTTCAAGAATATATTATTTTGTACTTTTTTCTTTTTTTTTTAACTTCAGTAATAAGAGCAGAACGTCCCTTTGAGATGAAGTTTTGCAGACATTGCTGCCCTGGCAGTTTGTTGTGCTGAAGCTCCAGGGAGCAGAGTTTGTGAGGAAAGGAGGGGAAAAATCAGGATTTTGGGAGATTTTGGAGGAGTTTGGGCTGTGAGATTCTGAGGAGTTTGAGGGCATTAAAGGAAAAACCAAGATTTTGGGAGATTTTGGGAGATTTTGGGAGATTTTGGGAGATTTTGGGCTGCGAGATTCTGAGGAGTTTGAGGGCATTAAAGGTTTCACCCTTTAACTCACCAGGCTGAGAGCTGGGGATTGGTGAGGTTCCCATGGAGAAAATTAAAGTGAATTTTGTTGTATTGGTTTGGGGGTAGATTGCCCTGGAAAAGCAGAGGGGAAAAAATAAAGTGAGTTTTGTTTTGTTGATTTGGGGGTGGATTCTCCTGGAAAAGGAAAGGGATTAAATTAAAGTGAGTTTTGTTGTTTTGGTTTGGGGGTGAATTCTCTTGGAAAAGCAAAGGGAAGAAATTCAAGTGAATTTTGTTGTATTGGTTTTGGGATGGATTCTCCTGCAAAAGCAAAAGGATTAAATCAAACTTAATTGATTTGAGTCAGAATTGAGTTTTGTTTTGTTGATTTGGGGTAGATTCTCCTGGAAAAGCAGNCCAACCTGTGTTACCTGGGCTCTGCTTTATTTATTCGTAATAAAAAGATCTTCAAGGGGGGAAAAAGTTGATATTTTCTCTATTTTTAATAGGTTCATTAAAAATAAACATCTGTATGTGGTGTACATATATTTTGAGCAGGAATTAGAATTTCCAAGGGTTCTCTGGGTTGTGTTTGGAGCAGAAATGAGAATTTCCAGGGGTTCTCTGGGTTGTGCTATATTTTGAGTAGAAATGGGAATTTCCAGGGGTTCTCTGGGCTGTGCTATATTTTGAGCAGGAATGAGAATTTCCATGGCACGGTGTCAGGAAGCTCTCAGCATTTATAAATGCTCACTCCTGCAAGTTAAAAATCCTGGGCTGTAATTCCCACTCTGGGTCTCGCCAGGCACTTTTCAATCATTTCTCTCTGCTAATTTTGGTGTCACCCTCATTTCTTTTGAAAAGATTCATTTTGAGCAAATTTGTAAATGGCCCTGATGTGTTCTACAATTTAGTCAATTACTGTTTCAGCCTGCAAACCTCCTGGGAAACGGAACATACATGGCCTCAAGGTACGAATTTCAATAATTGTTTCAGCAAAGTTAGATGGATTTGTAATGCTGTGTTCCACTTATTGAAATGTCAAATAAAACTGCACTTTCTTGAGCTCTGACAAGCAGACTTTTTTTTTTTTTTAATTCTGATTTTTTTTTTTTTCCTTTGGCAAGGGTGGGAGAAGGATTCATCTGCAAAATGTTGGCTGTGATATCTATATTTATATGTCTATATTTATATATCTATATTTATATGCGTGGTTTTGTTAAAAATGTGTTTGCCTTTTTGTTTTTAACCTCTGCTAATCACGTTCTTCAATTTTAGTAGTTCATTTATCAACTGCTGGCTGCCACTACTTCAAAGCTTTTAAACCCCCACCTCATTCTGTGATTTCAGTCATTTATCCAATTGTGGAAGGCACCACAGTGGGGGATTATTTTAGATTTTTAATTCCTTATTGCTCCTACAATCACATGGAGGAGCCTATGAGTGCATTAAGTGACTTTTGAGTGTTTAAAATGAGAACAAATCTTGAATTTCTCCCCCAAGATCCCCCAATTTCTTGGCGCATCCTTAGCGGAAGGCCGCGGCCTGCTAACCCACATCCCCCCTCAGCCAGCAGCGTGCCTGGCAAGCAGCTCATTAACCTTGCCAGGCTGACGAGGGCTCCGTGGCAAATTACAGGTTAATTAGCAGCGTGTCCCTGGGCAGGGCTGAGCTCAGGCTCCTCTCTTTNTATCTGGAGGTACCCTGGGTGATGTGGTGGCACTGTGTGGGTGACCCAATGTAGGTGCTGGTGGCACCTGGCTCTGCCGGAGCTCAGTCTCATTGCAGGTGTCTCTCTCTCTCAGGAATGTGTTCTGCCCCACAGATGCCATTCCTGGCGCTGCCCTGAGTGTGTGTTGGGCTGAGGAGGGAGGGAGGAGTCCCTGAGTGGTCACGGGTGGGATGAGGAGCAGGTCACAGCACGGAGGGATCCTCACTCCCTGTCATTCCAGCACTGAGCTGGGTTAAGTGGGACTTTGCTGCTCCTTCCTGCAGCCTCTGCTGCCCGCTGTGCCCTTTTCCCCAAGTGTGAGCATTCAGGCACCGCTGTTTGCTGTTTGTTTGCCACTTCCCCAGCAAATCATTTTGCAATCAGCGCTGGAGCATCTGCGGCGGCGTTTCAGAGGAGGGGAGCTTGTGCTGTGAACCAGCACAGCCCCATAAAAGCTCCTTTCTCCAACTGCTGTGCACTTTGGCTTCCCTGATTTAACAGCCACAGTCAGGCTAATGTGTTTGCTATTGCAGGAGGCAGCAACTGGCAAAGTGCTTATTTCCTAGGAGCAATTTGAATTTCTTTCTTTGGATGGCCGTGGAGTACGTGACACTGCTGTCACTGCCCTGCCACAGGCAGGAGCAGCACCAGGCCAAAAAAAAAGGGGGAAAAAGGAAAAAATGAGCAGATGTTGGGTGGTTTGCTGTGTGGGGCTTGCAGCTGGGGCTGGGTTCCTTTTGCCTGGCTCTGGCACAGCTTTGTGCTCCTGGTTGTTTCTCATCAATGCCCAGTCTGGCTCCTCCTGTGCCCTCATGTCTGGAGGTGCTGCTTGCTGCAGCTTTTCCTGGCCATTTCTGAGCTCAAATGAGAAGCTTCAAGCTTTTATTTCTGTTTGGGGCCATGGCAGAGGGTTTCCAGAGCGCTTTGGGGTGTGGAGATCTTCCTCTGCAGCCCTCAGTGCTGAGAGGAAACCCTGGGGAATGGGACAGGATTTCCCAGCCTTGGGAGGGAAATGGTGCCTTGATGATGATTTCATCCCAAGGTGTGAAGGAAACAAGGCAGAGAGAGGAACCAGAATATTCACTTGTGGATTTGCTGTGTGGCCTGGACGTTCAGGTGGCAGCAAAGGAGGAGCTGCAGAGCTGCAGC